AAGAGCGGTCTCAGGGGTGACCATGATCACACCACGCTTTGTCCTTCACTGCCCCCTTGACCATTTCTTCATGGAACGCCTACACACTGTCTGGAAATGCCTGCTGATGTAGTAGGCCACCTGATTAAGACACAGTAAGTATTAAACACCTGAGATTTTGTGTGCCCAGAGGGTGCACTCAGATACTGAGTTTTATCCTATGGGCACCCTTGGTGACTTCTCAAAAGACAGGACAGGCTCCAAAATCTTGGAATGAAAAGTACTGCTGGAAACATCAACAATAGAAATATTACAGTAAGCAAGCAGTCTTAACAAAAATACCGTTAGGAGTTGCTCTACAGTTGCTCTGCTGAAAAAATGCTCTTATATTAGATTGTATCCTGCCAATAAGGAAAAAAGTCTGCTTATGTATGGAGTAACAATATACAGAGGAACCTTTACAAAGTACGTTGTCTGATAATAGGGCTGTGTTTTCCAGAGGGCTTGGACAACAAATATTCCATTTTTTTCATGGGGATTTAGAAATTAACTATACAAAGTAGGTTTAGAAACCTCATATTATATTGCAAAAAAGTTGCAAGAAAAAAGTATGAAAAACCTGCATTTTTTATAACTTGTATGAAATTCCTCTAAAATGAAAACAATATGTAATCATATAATCATTCAGAGTTAAAGATCGCACCTAAAGAAAATTACACTTCATAGTCACTGCTACATTCATATCCAGCAATACAAATATTTCTTAGAAATCCTTCTTAACTATTCCAGGCAATATAAAAATCTCTTATAAAAACTACTTGTGCTGCAGAAGATCTGGTCAGAACAGAACCACCCATAGACTCAATCAGCTTTAAGCAGCCATAGATCACGTGATAAAAACCACACTCGAGTATCTTCTCATGGTCACTTCCTCTCCCAACTACAAGCAGCACGTGCAGAACCTCAGTAATCCACGAGCAGAAGCTCCGGGAGGCCTCTGTAAGCCAGGGAGCCAGGTAACAAATCTGTTTTTAACAGCTCAGTGACAGGCTGCGTGTTGTTCTCTTGGGACGAAACACAGCAGATGCCAGAAAATGAGCAGCAGTAAAAACAGGTTTTTCTCAATTCACTTGGGTGAACTAGTTCCTAACTCTGTAACCCAATACAAATCCGATTCTTTGCGGTCACTCAATTAGTCAAAAGATGAGAAATTATTCTGGCACGTGTATGAAATGCTTACGTAAATTGAATGGCTGGGAAAGGTAATATCTTTTGCTGAAACAAGAATGCTCCTTCTACCCATCGGCTCTCTCTTGATAACTGCACCCTTAAGGGATGTAGCAACCATTGGAAAAAAATTGAACGCGAGACATTTCAATCGTCAGCTGAAAAAAAAGCAATTATGAGGGACTGGAAATACACAGTCCTTTGTATTCAGATTTTCTATTCCAATGTGGAAGGGGAGTTTAGAGGAAAGTTTGTGGAATAATAGTAAAAAGTTGAACCAGACCTTCCCTCTTCTCAACAAAGCCCTCAAAAAGACTTTTCAAATACACTCAATCTTTTTCAGACTGGGAACACTACAGAGTTGATAAGAAAAATCTGTATTAATGGTGGGTTTGGTTTTATTCATATTTCAGAGATCCTTGTGTTGTCAAAAATGTGACTTTAATGGAAGATTAATAGTTGACTGCCTGATCTGACACCTGCTGAAGTCAGCAACCGCCCTTTCATGTTTTTCAGTACATTCTGGAACAGGCCCTTAGAAAGAACACAGAAATTAGCTAAGTGAAATGTCAGGGCTTATTCAACAAAAGAAGAGGAGACTGAAAAATGTTACAAAACTAAATATTTACAGAAATTATTTTTTTCTTCCATTTAAATGAATATATATCTGAATTTTAACTTACTCTGAGCAGTTTGTCATCCAAATACAATAAATGGCTTAGTGCAAGTGAGCCAAAGAATGAACTAATTTATTTTATTGTCCAAAATGAAATAAACACAAATTGTAAACAGCATGAAAGCTAAAAGGGAACTAAAAAGGCTCCAAAATTTTCAGTTTTAATACTGTTCAAACTTACAGGCAATACACGTAAAAATACTAATTATAAATGCACATTATTTAAAGTACAACTGTGACCTTTAATTCCCTCCAAGTACATTTAAAATCTTGAATAGCTTAAGTTAAAATAATTTAAATTAATTATCCGCACACCACAAGAACTGTCGGTCAAGATGAGTATTTGGTTTCTATGAAGCCCCTCCATAAGTTCTTGGAATAGGGAGGCACCAACTGATTGGGAGTCCACCTACTGACATATTTTGAATGTAAACCAAACATGATTTGGCTCCCACTTCAAATCTGAAATAGCTCTTCGTTTCTTTTTTTTTTTTTCCTTTTCATTTTTCCAAGAGACACAGCTTTTAGCCTCAGTTCACAACAGTGCTTCGATCCTGCTCCTTTGACACTATATACAAAGCACAGTTTCAACATGCCATCTTGTGGATCAACCACATCTACCCATCAAGCATACCTGAAACCTGACTGCGTCCTGCTGCTACTCTTACAACAGATGCCATGTTCTGATAGGAGTCTGCACAGTTTTTAGCAATGAGAGCTACCACTTTTCACAGTCACAGCTGTGAACCAAACGTGAACAGTCACAGCAAAGGGACACTGCTGTTGGCCTCTGGAAACTTTTTGTGAAGTCACTATATTAAGGAAAGCCTCCATTTTTGCCATGTGCAAACCTACTATGGGCACACAAACATGCCACTGTGTGGTGAAAATGGTGTGAACTTGTGCTGCATGTTAGCTGTTCCACAAAATCACTTAAGTCCAAGCG